ACCCAGAGTGGAAGACATCCTTTCACGCAAGCGGTTGAGAGCTTCCATGCAGAAATGGGAGGGTTTCCCGCATGACTTTGTTCACAAGTTTGGATGTGTCTCCTCCCAAAATGGTGCCAGAAAGGGGTTCCCTTCAAAAAAGACCCATCTGTGGCCGTGGCGATTTGTGATGCTGGTGCGCGAGAACCGTGACAGTTTTCAGGCCAGCAGCTGCCAGCATTGCCACATGCTCAGCTGAAGGATGGGCCAGCTGTTTCGCTCTCCTTCTGTCCTGGGTCCAAGTTCTGTTGCCGGAAGACTCTTACTGGCTGATGCCCAGCCGGGAATGAGGATTGAACCTGAGGATTCCCTGAAAGGAGACCATAGGGGATGGTTTGTGGGGGTCATTCCCTCATTCCCTACTGAGCACCAGCATAGCTTAGCCTCGTACTCCTGCCGGCTTGCGAGGAAACATTCAGGCTGGAAGTTGTTGCCAGCATGGGCCTGCGGACACTATCTTCAGCTTTGTTTAGCCCTTTGAGGGTCCCCACTTCCCAGCAATCCGCACAAACACTCCCAGGGAGGAAGCACATTTGTTGAGGAGCCCTGTTCCGCTCCCCTTTGAGGGCCCTGGGTCTCAATCCTTTCCGATCCGCTTTGGCGCTCGTCGCTCTTTCTGGGCCTAATTGTTCAGTCCGCCAATTTCGGAGTAAGAAATCTAAACTGCTGAACAGTGCCATTTCTGGAATTGTGTGAGTTGAATGGGACATTGCTAGACAAATCGCTAGTTTCGTTTTCTACATTAGGAATTGGGGACTCGTGAATATCATATTTGAGGGCGCTTTGTTCTCGGGGGCAGGGACAAAATGCAAGCGCCTTGCGACACGCCCTAGGCCTGATGTGCTGTCAGTCATGGTAGGCGCTGAGCTCGGGCCCCCGGAGTCTTGCGAGCAGACTGCTTGGGGCTGAATTGTAGCCTTGACCTCTGCAAGCTTCAGGCAGAGAGTCCCTGTGTTCATGTCCCCCAAGCGAAGTTCCTTGTGTTTTTGAGGCCAATCAGCATCATTTGGACATGTGCAGTTGCTTGCGCAATGCTGGCTGGGTCAAGAAGCGGCAATTCGGACGCTGTGCTCGGGGTCAGCACCCTCACAGAGCTTGGCCACTGAGGCCTTTGCATTCCACGCGGGCTGCCGCAGATCGGCAACAGCAGATTCCGCTGTCCGAGTTGATAGCAGCTTGGCAGAATGGTCCTGTTGATAGCGAGTGCAACAGGTGACTGGCCAACTAGCTGACTGCATGGCATAGTCTTTCCTCGATGCACATTGCTTTGAACAGAGCTGAAGTGATTGTGTGTTTGACGGTTCGCTATCATAGGCGTTCCAGTACACTAGAGAGAGAGAGGCAGAGAGAAAGAGCGAGAAACTCGGCAAGAAAGATTGAAGAAGAGAGAGAGAGAGAGAGAGAGAGAGAGAGAGAAACAAGGAGAGACAAAGGCAGAGAGAGCGGATTCCATAATTGTATCGGACATCTGTAGTTTGACAAGATTCGTGCAGGTTATCAGTTTGGATCCGATCATTTTGGACCTTTCTTTGGATTGCAACCAAACGAGTTTGCTTTCCATGCAAGTTGTCCGCTTTTGTTGGTTTTGCCCTTCGCAGATGCAAGACACATCGAGCATAACCGGAGGCTGTCTTGGCGCTGGTGGGACGAGTTCGATGCTTTTGTTTTGGTCCCACGTGTTCCTTAGAGACAATTTTAAACTGGCCACTAATTGACTTCCTACCCCCCCCAATTTAGCAAAGGTACTGAAACAACAGCGCAAACATGTCGTGGGTCTACAGCTTACGCATGTTCAATCATGACACGTGTGCACATGTATGTTTTGCCAGTTTCTTGACGTGTGTTGAGATGCAAACAGGCCGTCCAGGAGCAAGGGCATCAGATGAATCAGCACCGCCGTTTATATGCTTGAAACTAGACCCCATACTTTGTTTGCTATCGGCCTCTTTGGCAGCTGAAGAGAGTATGTGGCCAATACGAACAAGCGAAGTGCCTTGATCTAGCTTATTGCCATGGGCTTTCCTCTTGTGAATCCGCGTTTGGATTTGGTTTCTGTCTGAGGATGGCATGGAGACTCAGCTCTAGGCCTGCCACAGACCCAGCTCGCGGCAAAGGAAACCTTGTTGCTTACCGCGCCCCAGATCCAAGTTCCTTTACTTGTAGGAGTTCAGGCTGATCCAGTCGTATTTGTCAGAGCGCAGGCTTTTCATCGAGTCATTGAGGGCACAGGGGCACGTTTGCCTTGATGTTGACAGCAAGATGACAGCTCGTCACATATCTTTGTATATGCACATTATGTGCGCAATGTTTTGATTCGTTTGTGCTGAGCATTGTGTGAGGTTGTGTTGCAACTCTAGTAGATTAAAGCTGACACACTGATAGTGTCGCTTTACTCATATGTTTGTTGTGTGTGTGTGTGCGCGTGTGTTTATTCTTGGCCAGCCAGCAGTCTTTCGCGCATTTGCGTGGCTGACAAGATTCAAGATGATGCTTGAATTGAATGTCAGCGAATAGTCTTGGGTGCAGTCTATTTGTTTCCTATGTGTTTGTTGTTTGCTGGTGTAGCAAGCCCCTGAGCTGTTTCAGATACCGCGGGTGCTCAAACAGTGCGCAATGCTCTGCAAGGTCAGGTGACGTCTGACGCGCAGGGCCGCGAAGTTCTGTGCTGAGGGAGGCAGCTTTTTTCAGCAGATGCAACCATGTCAGGGTTGACAAGTTGTTAACACGTTGATTCGGCATGGCTTCTAGGCTTCCAAGCAGCTGTTCACCGCGAGAGGTGTCCCCCACATCTCACATCCCCGCTTCCATGCTTTATTCCAATCGCCGTCCTAGTTGTCCATCAACAAGGCACAGGATCAAAGAGCAAGTAAAGCAGCCACAGCATCTGTTGTCGACCTCCTGAACCTGATGACCTGCCCGTTGTGACGTGGTTGGCTTAGTTTTGGCACTGAAAACGTTGATCAAATATAGTGCAGAGTCTACTGCTGTTAATGTCTGATGGCATATCGTGAATTCCCAAGTTTAGTATTTTCTACACCCTCGCTCTTAAGCGCCTGTATTGCTTTGTCCTGCCGTGTGTGGCTTGTATCATGGTGGCCAAGCAGCAACTCCTTATGTTACAATGCAGGTGTGACGTTGAAAGAAATTCACGTGTGACTGCTATTCCGTCCCTGATTTGCAGTCTGAGTAAGGGGCGGTGCTGAAGGAGCCGACTCCCTAAGATAGAATGATCATATTGGCACTGTCTCACCAGTACTCTGGCATGGCCGACAGGTTGACATTTGCAAGAAAGCTTCAGATGGTTCAGCGCCTGCCAAGTTGTGCTTTGTTTTCCGACCGTTGTTATTTGGACATACTGAGGAGCGCAGCAATATGGTTTCAAGAGGCATGGCAACTAACGTATCATCGATGTTTCATGCGACTGTTCTCGCTTACTGCTCCAGAATTATTGAGGCAAGACCTCCACAGCTTAGCCTTCATAGCATGATATCTCATGGACACGCCTTTCTTTTGTTGAAAACTCAGATCAGAGCCCATGCACTTGTCACCTGGCAGCCAGAAATCAGGGCGAAATCGCGGCACAAAAAGAGGTCTTGAGCATTATTGCCCACAAGGGCAAGATCGTCAGGTGAAGCTGATTCGCTTCAGCTTGACCAGGTTTCTTTGTGCAGGTAGAAGGGGGCCAAGAGGCAGTACGCGCCTGAAAGAGTTTATCTTTTCTTGTAGGGAGTAACGCAGGAGCTCTGGTGCCACCTATGGCAAAGGCTCAAATCATTGTTGTTGTGCAAGGAAGCTGTCCGAATCGCGCTGAGCGCCGGTTCTCAGTCCAGTGTAAGAGGAAGGTTCAGCACGTTGCCACGACGGAGCGTGACGCGGGGTATCGCATGTGTTGCAGGGCAGAGTCTATTGACTTTGTTATTTCTTGCTCCTTTCAGGGCTTGGTTACGAAATTGAGTACTGCTTAATGCGAAGCTTTGTCAGAGGAATTCTTCGGCGATGTTGCGTGCAGATGGAAGCATCACTGATTTCTGGTTGGATGCTTCAATGTGTTTGTTGGGAACTCAAGCAACGACTGTTTTCAGGTTGGATGCAAGCTTGTTCCACACCATTCACAGGTCCAAGGCTGTTGCCGAGTTGTTTGGGGCTGTGTGTTTGGTGTTTGCATATTCAGAATGTATTCATTTGCATACCAGTACCGTTTGGCAGAGCCGGGGGGCGGAAGTTTCCAAAGAACATAAAATATAGAATTATGCTGATTGCTATTGTCATTTTATTTCTAAATGTACTTATGTTTATGTATGTCTTTAATTATTTCCTTTTTTTCTTTCTTTCTTTCTTTCTTTCTTTCTTTCTTTCTTTCTTTTGCCTTTATTGTTTCTTCTTCCTTTCTTCTTTGCACATTACCTCTATCTATTTGTCTGTCTGTCTATTCTCACTATCTGGCTATCTAGCTATATATCTAGCTATCTAGCGATCTGTTGCGAAAAGCGCGCGCGTCCGTGCCAACGGGCCCGTCACCGGGAACCCGCTCCGAGACCGCCCCAGTCAGGCGTTGCGACCGAGGTGGTTTGCGCACCTGCCGAAGAGCCGGACTCGCTCACGGGGCCAGAATTGTCTGCCTCTTGCTTTGTCCCCAGTTCTCGCGATTTCCTCATTATTCATAGCTTCTTCATACATGTTTTGGAGACAAGCTCAATTAGTTTCAGTGCTACCAAAATTGTCGTAAAACCTCCTGTGATTACTCAGAGCTGGTTTGTTCATTCAAGAGTAGCGACATGAGTCCAAAAGAGATGTGCCATGCCACAATGCTGGCATGTCAAGGAGTATCTGCAACTGACAGTAGGCAGCAGGGCTTATGTAGATGGTTCAATCCGAGACTTGTGGCTCCATGGAGTTTCGCGGTTTTTGGAAGGGGATGTGCTCGTTGGGCGTTTTCTTGCCATGGCCACTGGCCACCGAAGGACCTCAAGGTTTGGCTCATTGAGATCAACTCCTCGCCGGGCGCCCAACAAAAAGACCTGCGGAAGCTTCTGCGAAACGGAACTGCCGGCCACAAAGGCTGGGCCGAACATCGACTTTACAATTGTTGGGTAGGATTGAGCCAAAGGAAGGAACATGTTGCACTTGAGTTTTCTAGGGTGTTTCTGCATTGAGCACTTTCCACGCTCATGTTGCTGTGGCGGTGCCGCTTGCGGGTCATGGACATGTGGTTCTCCAGGGGAGCCAAGCAAAGGTTGTCGTGCAGTGGGAGAATGGAGCTCAACAGATTCATGGCGTTCGCACAGAAATAGACCGCGTGTCGGCAGGAGTTGAACGAGTTGGGGTTGGTGTTGCTTGCAAGCACCCAGAAGCCAAAGCATACTCTATTCGGGCTTGATCTGGTTTTGTGCAAGCATCATCTATTGTGTTTTTGTTCCCCCCCTGTTTTCCTTTTTTTGTTTATGTTCTTTTCAATTTATTCGAGAAAAAAAGTATCCGTTTGTTAAAATTGGAATATTTGGAGGAATGTTACTAGATCAGAATATAAAAAAGGGCAAAGAAGAGATATTGTTTCATTCCTCTTCTCGAGAGGAACTAACTAAAAGAAAAAAAGGAAGTAAACCAAGAAGCAAACTTCCACCTCAAATCTTCTTTTTTTTTATGTTCATTTCTCCGATGTTCTGCCTGTGAATTTCATTTATGATGTGAGGGCAACCGATCAAAGGGCTATTCGCTGCATTCCAAAACGTTCAGGAAATGTGTTCATGTCAAAGCATTCCTGGAAGAAGAGGGAGCGCTGGCTGCCCCAAACACTTTTCACAGGTACAGGCGTCCAGGTGGGTGGCCTGGAACATGGCAGCTCAGATGGTTTTCTGGGGTTGCTATGTGATTAGCTAAAGCCCCTAGTTGCTACGCAGAGGATGGCATACGCCAAAGGAAAGGGTGAGTTCATAAACACAGTAAACTTCCGGAAAGGGGAAGGGAAAGAAACTGATACAACGGAGCGTATCAATTTAGAACATGGCTCACAAAGAAGAATCAGGCTCCGTGTGATTTTCCGGCGTGTGTCACCTATAAGAAAACTGATAAAGGAATCATCATGATTCCAGCAGAGAATCATACGTGGTCCGAATGCCCAAAAGCGAGCAACAACAATGAAAACCAACAAAGCTCCTACAATGATATGAAAGCAAGCATGAACCAGAAAACCCCACGCGATGAAGGACCTAGAGCCTAGAGCCAAACAAAGGGTAGCATGTGTCCTAGAACCAAACATCCAGACGAAAAGACAGGCAGATCCAACAGGGGAAATGGCATTCAGTGAAGAATATATTTTTTATGACTGAAGGAAGGTGTGAAGATACCAACAACGAGATGCACTTGGCCTCTTGTTGTAGCATACACTATTCTTCCCGAGGCACAAGCAAGGCTTAATAATCCGTCCCCTGGTATGACGGCTCCTTTCAGTGACAGCACCATTCAGAATTCCAGCAAAGCAAACATATTAAAAACCATTCCAAGAAATCGAACACATTCCACACGTACGCGACCACTATAGGGATGAACAATGTCGGGACACGAGCACTTGCAAACATGCAAGAAGTCAAAAAACATTTTTGTTAAACAAAAGTCGCTTAACAAACACAATCACATACAAACAAGCAACCGAACAACAACACTATAGAAACAACACGAAAGCAATCACACATGATGAAACAAAGCAAACCGTTTTAGACCAACAAAAGACAAACAAACACATTCAAAACAAGCATCAACACTCCACAAAACGATGTCAAACAACCCCCATAATGATTTTGAAGGAAGTTGACGTATTGTGAATACTCCCTGCGAAGCCCCATGAGTGCCACTCCTACGAATGGCTGTAATGGCGCTATCCGCAGAAGATAGAATTTATGCAGTCATCGTGACATTCTTCTACGAGACTAGCATCAGAAACGGTTACCCGAAACAGTGGCCACAGATAGCTTTGCTTAGGTTACACCTCAGAGACACGAAAGCACTACTTGAAAAGAGCAGGGTCAGCGCCAAGCATTTTCGCCTCCCGAAAAGCTTGAAGCGAGGCCTGTTCATGAGTCTTGCTGGAAAGATTCCACCCTCCAGAAGAAATCTACTGTATTTTCATTGGTTGGAAAGCACCGTTCAACAAGCAGTTTGCAGTTGCTAGGCCAGACCTGTCATATTCAACCTCCACGACCAAGCAGTTGGTGAAGCAGATGATCGAGGAATGGCCACGCTTGTCCACTGGTCCTTTCTGAGTTTAAAGCCTCGTCCAGGACATGATGGCAGTGGTGGTGGATGTGGAGAAATTTGGCTACAGGCACAGACATCTTTGAGAGTGATCGGGGTAGCCAATCCTCGGAACTGTTGTCCATGGGGACCAGTATAATTCATCTAGCGAGCACAAAAGCAGGTCGGCATGTTCATTGCAGCTCGTTTTTTGACCCTGACTGCTGGCTAGACTCATGAGCCGCCAGAATGATCAACACACAGCGTCTTTTCGTAGATCTTTGACACTGCCCAGTTTCTCGTGTCCAGGCTTGACCGGCCGAAGCGCAAGTGGGGCAGTTGGCCTGGGCCTTGGCGTCGGGGAGCCGGCATCCGCTCGTTTCCTGTTTCACTCGATTTGACCATTTCCATGAGCTTTTCCTAAGCCTTTGTTGCTTTGCACGGACAGCTGCTATCGATTGCTGGGCATTGACTAGCTTTAAACCCAAAAGGATGGAAGAAAAAGGAAATCTTTGCAAGCGTATCACGCTGCTTCCTTCGCATCTTGCAAATCTCCGTATAGTGGGGCAATGAGTATGTTTCAGAATTTAGGCTTTAAGCACTTTGACAGCTGCTGCACTTTGTAGAATGGTATGAATACCGCAAGCTGGGCATGACTCAAGAAGCATGAATCAAAAGGATCTTTGGTAGGAGGGCTCGGCAAGAGACAGACAATCATGTCGCGGTGTGCCTGCGACTGAATTAGACTTGCCGCTCTCCAAATACCGCGCATCGCTTCCCGAGCCACAGACTGAGCGAGCCCATTGAGCGATCGTGACCCGACTCAGTCGACTGAAGTCTGGGGGCTTTCAACTCCTGGAACCTGCCGTAGCCTCAGGGCGCCTGGGGGCACCGCACGGAGGTTTTGTGAGACACGGTCGAGCGTGGTGTACCATGGTTGGTTGTATTGGCGCTTCTTTCACCAAAGGGGAACCGCAAACAAGCGTTTCACGTGTGCCAGACTAGAACATCAGGGGGAGCCTCAGTTTGCACCACTAGTTTATGTGGTGCCCGAATTATTTTTGCGAATGTCAAGAACACACGAAGTGCAAAAAATGCAGCGTCATGATGCGCATTTAGGATTCCGATGAACTACGGGTAAAAACGGTATGTTTTGGGGTCCCCAGTTCCAGGTTTGGGTTGTCCAGCATGGTGCAGTCTTGTGCTTTTTTTGTTCGCTTCTCGTGGGGGAAGGTCATCAGCAGCCAAGAAGTGTTCCAGGATTATGTTTTAAGTGAAGGATTCAAAAGGGAGCCACAACCTGTTCTTCTTTTCCAAAAAGAAGTGCTTGCTGACTGAGGCAGGGGGTCCCGAAAGAAGCTAGAACAGAGGTCGGTGGAAGAGATCGCTAGTTTAGTGCAGGTTCCAAATTGGGCTATTCTAATTTAGCCAATTTAGTATGCCCCCCCCAGCCTCGGACGCGCGGGTTTTGGACGAAGATGGTTTATTACTTAGGGAACCTTAGGGGGAAGGGAAGAGATTAATCCAACATGAACCATTTTTGAGGGTCATCTTCAAATGGCATCAATGCGTGTATAATATGATGTTTCGAGGGGTTGCATGTGGCCTCGAGTTGATCGCGTTTCCGCAAGGAGACCAAGACAGTATGTTTGAACTTGTCGTTTATTCATGATTTTTGCTAGAGTGGCACACGGAACCATGCATGTGACTTCTAAGCGAGCAAACGCAGAGCCGAACAAATACGATTCATTGGTTGCCTATTCCCGAAGGTTATGTTGGCTAGCAGTGCGTAAGGTGGCCATAGTTTCTTGACATGTGCATATATAATATATGTGTTTGCCCTCCCACGCACAGTGCACACGGGTTTGAGCAAACATGTGTTTGGCATTTGTTTTGCACCACTGTTGGAACTTGTTCACGTAAATTGTTTACTCTACAGTTTGACAAGGATTCCCCAAACCCAGTACTTTTAGAGGAATCTCCTTTTGGGGACCCCTTTTTGGGTTCCATGTTAATTTGGAACGGAGTACACTCGAACCAAGTGGTTGGGGCTTCTCGCCGTTTGGGCACCCTAAGTCCACCAATTTTGAGGCTGGCCAAGCTGTGCCCAATTTTGAGGTGCGCTCAGGAAAGAGGGTGCGGTTGGCCTTTGCTAAGTTGCTCCAACAGCTACCGTGACCTTGAGCTTGTTGCGTGGCACAAACCAACTGAGTGAAGCCCTCCGCTGCAGTCGCATTGGATGCCATGGGCTGTTTTGTCAAAGACCGGTGTAATCATCGAACTAGGCGCAGGCTCGGCCAAAGGCGCCTCCCAGGCTCGGCGCCGCCGCGAAGAGAAGTTCCCGAAGCTGCGCAAGGCGCCTTGCCGTGCGTTTGAGTCGTTCCGGCGATTGAGAGGCGGATCAACATTCGCCTTCGGCCCCCAAATGGCCATGGGTCACTTTTTTCCCATTTGGTGGGAACCCATGTTTTGTGTGGCTTTTTCAGTGGTCATCCCATCCCATTTATGCAGAAGACTTGATGGTCTTTGGTCACCCAAGGTGGAATGAAGAGTTGCTCATGGATTTTCGGTGGCGGAGGTACCCTGTCTGAAGATTGCCGGTGCTCCGCATAGCGCCCCTTGGGAACGTGCCCCAAAAGTACAACCTTACATACCCATGACGTATGCCCCATAGATGGGTACACCCCATTTGAAGAACATATTCTGTTCTGGCCAGCCCCCCCAAGGGCACGTAGTTGTTCCCGTGAAATTATTGCGATGTCCAATGACACATATTTTGTATTGTCTTGAGTGTGCAGCAGCACGACATCCTTGTGGCAGCTGATCGTTGATGCATCTTTGAATCGCAGGCGTGGCAGGTACAACAGAACGGGTCGTTCAACAAACGGTGGGTGAGTGGCTGAAGCATTCCTTACGTTGGGTTTGTCCATGAAACTGCTTGCCTGGATCATGAGATCTGTGCTGGTGCTAGCAGGATTCATAGTGGGAACTAGAAGTGAGCACCACGGATTGCTGGTGCTTGACAGGATGCGCAGTACTTAGTCTCCTCCTCAGACGGGCTTCATGGCAAGAGCAAGTAAAGCATGTGTGCAATGTGCATGTAAAACATGAGTCCGCGCGCATAGGCCGAAGGCCGTGGTGTGCGGCCACATTTCGCCCCCCGAAACCGAACCTTGATCTCTAAATTCCGCTGGATGCGAGAAGCACAGAATCTTGATCACTTGAGCCGCAATTTCTAGCGGGGAAAAGAGAAAGTCAGCGTTTCGCCTAGGCGAAACACACATGTACAACACAAGTTGACCCCCCCCCCCGACTACTTGCTCGTTCACTTCGTGTGCAAACGCAGCCCCACTGGAAAGAACACAACGTGTGTTTCGCTTCAACGAAACGTTATTTTCAAGTGAACCCATTTCACTGATTTCCACCCTAGAGTTTCCAAAAAACACCCCAAAGCCCAGCCCACCCAACTCTCCAGCTGCTTGTTCGCTTCCCGTGCCTGGCTGGAAGGTAATGACCATCCAGTCAGGCCCAAATTTCTGGTGGTTGAGTGAGCAAGAAGAGATAGGTAAACACCACATCCACCCAATCAAAAGACTCAGGCGATGTGCCCGAGTCCATCAATCTATTTGCCTGGGCTGCTTTTTGCGAAAACCGGACCGCATTGGAGAAATAGTGTCGTCGCTTGGGCGCCCTGTCCCGACCCGAAAGGCCTCAGCCGGTCGTCATGTCTATCCAACAACGGTAAAATATGCAGAGTTGGCCACCGCCTACGGCGCGTGTGCAACAGCGTCGGCCACTTTTTAGTAGCTGGTTCTATTACCTGGTTAAACAGGTATGATAGTAATCTCATCCAAATCATTACAACCATGGTGGTAGAACCGAAAGTCAATGGGTTTTGGGTTGTTGGCTAGCGATCCTTCATAGCGGCACAGACCGCATCAAGCGTTTAAGCGTCAAAGGGCACAGCTCAAGTGAAATGCATGCAATTAATAAGTCAATGCGGTTGCATTGTGCTGGGCTTCATGGAGTCAGCTGTCAGTTGCATGAAAATGGGCCAGCGGGAGCTTGACTCTTTGCATCTCTCAGAAATCTCTCGTGAAGCCTTCCTGCCCAAGCGCTCGCCCGAGGCAGTCCAGGGCACCGGCGTGAAGCTGCGCAAGCCAAAGAAAGGCGAATGCTGCGCCCTGAAAATGCACTTTGTTGCATCGACACAGCCACCTGCCCATTTGGATGACCAGAAGGGATTGCATGCCCATAGTTGCGAGTACTTCCGCCCAGTCTTACCGAGTTTTTCCGAACAGTGATTCCGACTCCGCCCGGTTTTGCTGAGTTTTTCCACGCAGATTGTCCGGATTGGTTCAGCCAAGTTTTCCGAGTTTTTCCCGCCTTCCGCCCAGTTGTTTCGAGCTTTTCCCGCTTCTCCAAGGTTTCCCGGCCAGCTTTTTCAGAGTTTTTCCGGCCAGAGTGGTTCCCACAGTTTTGTCGCATTTTGTTTCCAGCGCCCCCAGCCAGTTTGAGCTTACTTTTTTTCCGCTGCTCTATATTGCCACGCCTAGTTGGTGTAGTCGGGGCTAACACCATCGCGGCCCAGTTCTTCGGAGATTTCTTCTGTCTTTGCCGTTCCGAAGTTTGCCGGCTCTTTCCAAGATGTCTATCTCCCGCAGAGTTTGTCAATGTTGTTCCAGCACAAAGCTCACCACTTTAATCACCATGCTTCAGTGTTGCGGATCGATCCTGGTCCTGGCCCCCAACAGTATGCAATACACATTTGCGTGTATATATATATATAATATACAACATGCTTGTATGCACGGCGCAGTGTCCAGCTAGTGTGGGGCGACAAATGTCGGGTGGAAATAGCACTAAGCTGGCAGAACAGTACGAACAGTTGCCATTGTTGAGCTGTATCGTATTTGATGAGCCAGCAAAGCATAGCGTCGCATACTGTGGCATAGCATGGCAAAGCATGCATGGCCCATTTCCCCGTGCGCAGCGGATTGCGTACTGAGAATGCGACCTGTGAAGAGTAGCGGTGCCTCTTACATCCATCCCAAAGCAAGTGGCTATATAAGGTAGCGTGCAAGGATTCTTAGTGAATTCAAGCAGGAGCATCAGAAACGACGCAGTGCATGCACTCATTGAGCCTGAGCGGCACGCAATCAAGGCCAGTAAGAAATCCGAGTTCAGTTTGTGCGGTCACGGAGTTGGGTTGCATTGAACTGGGCAATGTATCTAGGGCTTGCAATCACCTTTGGAAATGCGTGGTCTCGACAGTGCAAATCTGTGTCAAACGCATCCTCTTATATCCTCTAGCAGTATATAACTTCTCAAGCAGCGACACTGCGGGCTTTCCAAGAGAACCTTCAGCCGTGCTTTCATCGAGTATTTTTGTCGGCCGCGCAGCAGAGTGTAAGGTCCCAGGGGACACGATGCTGAGGATGACCCACGATACAGTGAGGGCCCTACTGAGCTCGAGGCAGCAAGGCCACTGAGCAACCCGGTCTGCGCATCCAGCTCTCTTGTGAATTTGGTCTTCTTGGTGTGTATACATGACGCTACGTCGACGGCTCAAACATGTTGTTGATTTCCAAGCGGTACGCTTCCCTAGCTTGTTTGAGACTCACGATTGCGATACCAAAACTATCCCATAAACAATAAAGGATCATTTCAGACAACCACGGTGAAGCGCTTGCAACGCCTGTGGCTTATGAAGTTCAACGGGTTCAAGTCACTGAGATGAGGTGCTCACCGGCTTTCCTGCGAAGAACTGCATTACAACTTTCTTAAGTGGCTAGGCTCCAGAATGGACACTAGTCTACTCACTGGCATAACCTGTTTTTGCATGTTGTTACTGTCACTTCTAGAAAAGCACATATTGCCAGCTTGCCGTGTAGGTGCCTTGCACGCCCTCACGGTTGCAGAGAACGCCGAAGAGGACCCGGAGGCAAAGCGAGAGTTGCCAGTGCCGGGATTGTGCTGAACAGTGATCGATGCAGTTGGTGTTTTTCCTGCGCTAGTTGTTTGTATAGGCATGGCAAGAACTTGTCAGATTGTGTGGCTTCATTGTTCTGTTCTTTGTCCTGGCTTTGTGATCAAGGAGAGAGTTGGCAGCCGTTGCGAAGGCTGTGGAAGAAGATGAGGATGGGGATGAGGACGAGGAAAGTGAGGATGAGCAAAGTTTCTTGTAGATATTGTTGTTGAGGATGTACACAGAGCACTACGTAGGCTTGGCCCAGTGCGTTGTTCGTGATTGATTCGATTTAGCTTTACTGCAAGTGCGCTCTTGGAGTCGTTTGCATGTTTGATACGTCATTTGGAGGCCAGGCATCGGCAGCAAAGACTTTGGCAGCATTCGCTCCTGGCCGAGCCACGAAGTAGCCTGGCCGCGAAAGCGCCAATAACTTTGAACCTCAGTGAGCGCCCAAAGATGGAGAGCGCACTCTCGGTAGCTGTTTCACTGTTTGTTGGTGGAATTTGAGGAGCGCAAATTGCATTCACAAACAGACAGGCGGTAGATTCACGATGCCATCCTATCCTGAATGCGCCGTCGCGCAAAGACGCTCTCAATGTCAAACATGAAATTATAGAGGACAAATTTGTTGGGGACGGGGTTGGGCGCTACAGATTGTAGCTATCCTTTGCATGAAGACCACGACATTTGACGAGGTCAGCAGATTGCATCTAGGAATCCCTGAACATTGATTTGAGTTTGTTGGACAGAAGGCTTTGCGAGTAAAGTCTCCAAGTCTGGATGGACCAAAGTTCATGAGTTCCTCGCCATTTGCCGCTGCCCATTAGCAGATAGAAACCCCTCTTCCTGCACAAAGGCGCTTGTCTCCAGTCTGGAGCATGGTCTCGCCATGGTCCAGCTGTTTGCATTTTTCGCCAGGAACTGAGTGCCAGGTGGGCATTAATGAAGACCTCAAGGAAAAAGACGGATGTGCTTCCTGCAGCCCAGCTTAGAGCAAGAGAGGCCAAACACCCAAAGAAGATGCCATAGGTACAGCAAGTAAATATGGTTCAGCATTCAATCTCAAAGTAGTCATGTTTTTGCTCTATGCTTGTCGCTTGTTGCATTACAGAGGTGGGCATAGCAGTTTGCAGCGCAGGCCCGGATCGCGAGACGTTTCAGCTCTCCGCATGTTTGAGGTGTAACCTAATATAGATATATATATATATATGTGTATGTGTGTGTTGTTTTTTTTTGGCACCCTGTTTGGGATCGGTTTAAAGGGATACCAAAGGGAAACCACCAGGTTTGGGTTACCCGTACTTCGGTACATACCCACGGCAACTTGCTGCAATGGGCTGGCTCCCCACAGCCAATCCTGCAGGAGACTTCCAAGCTGATCAAGCCGACTTGTGCAAAGGCGGGAAAGTACTCCAAGCCGTGTCTGCGGGCAGTCGGTTGGATTGGTTGGATAGTTGGTTGGACACCGCATAACACTTGATGGCTGCGCAAACGGGAACAGCTCAACAGCAGGATAAGTTACACCAACCGACGCTTCGGCATTCTCAGATGCGTGTATTCTGAAAGCACGATGAACACAGCTTTGGCTTCCGGGCATTGGTCCTGGGCATGCCGCCTGATCAGGCCTCGCAGCGGATGAAGAGTCACTTCAGCTGCTCCAGCGGAGCGCTAGGAGCGGAGTCGGCTTCGGCCTTTAGCGGTCCTCCGCCTCTTTGAGAGGAGGTAGGTTGAGCATCGTTTTGTGGCAGACAGAGATGATGGGT